ATCTTAATTATATAATACTACTGGTTTAATAACTGACCCGTAGATTTCCTGATAATATCTGATTAACAGTGATTTATAAAGCTATCTTAATTTCACTATTGATACACAGTAAGCTGAATTATCTCAAGGATGGAGAGCGCTGAAGTGGACGGCGGTGAAATGTTTAGTGGGACACTTGCACTGGACTACTTCGGAAAAGTTTCCTTTATCCGGGGTCTAGAACACCATGCGGTGTTCGCAACAATCACGAGACAGTTTTCTACGTTCAACTTGGCAAGCCAGCGCGAGAATGGACCTGTTTTGAGTTTAATCGTTACTGAATTAGTGCTTCCAGATAACGAGTCTACCCAGGATACTGTTTAGGAAGCGGCTCGCATATGACTAGCTCCACTCTGCCGAGATAGGCATGCATCCGCGAAGTGACCAATCACAAATGACGAGTTACACTGCAACGAGATGACTACCTATCACTTAAATTCACGTTCCCTAAGCTACAAGTCAAATGTCACAATATTTGTACTCTTCTCGAAGGATATTTAAAATTACATAATTTCCAATATGACAAATACCATTGTCGTTATCGGGTAAGATATTCAATCAATAACCTGAAACTCGAGCTAACGATACTTAGTGCTGGTGTAATTGGCCTCACTTCAGCGTTGTTGCTGGCCAAGGGGGGCAACAAAGTCACTGTTGTTGGCAAACATATGCCCGGTGACTATGACGCCGAGTATGCCTCGCCATGGGCTGGAGCCAATGTCATCCCGTGAGTCAACCACTGATACACTCTCAAGACCAGTATACTAACATTTTCAAGCTTATCGCCCAAAGACGCAAGTCGCTGGGAACGAAGAACATGGATCGCTCTGAAGAAACTTGTCGAGGAGACACCCGAAGCCGGCATTCATTTCCAGAGTGAGTCCTCGTAACAATTACTGAGACTGAACCAGCTAACATCGTAAGCAACGCATGTCCTCCGTCGGAACAAAGACACAGAGTCCGCCAAATCAGGCTTCTCAGCCCATTTCTACGCAGATAACCCTTGGTTCAAAGAAATCTTCAACGACTTCCGAAACAACCATCCATCCGAAGTCGCAACAGGCTACGACTCTGGTTTCCAATACCAAGGAGTCTGCATCAACACAGCCATCTACCTCCCCTGGCTTCTCGGCCAATGCCTCAAATACGGCGTCGTCGTAAAGCGCGCTATCCTAACTCACATTAACGAAGCCAAGTATTTCAGCCACACAGGTGAAAAAGCTAATATCATCGTCAACGCCACTGGTCTCGGATCTCTTGAGCTCGGAGGCGTGCAAGACACAACCGTCGCACCAGCGCGAGGTCAAATCGTCCTCGTTCGCAACGAAACACCCAAGAATCTACCGCTCTTCATGTGTTCTAGCGCCCTCGATGAAAGCGGTGAGGAGATCTACGCTATGCAACGAGCAGCTGGTGGCGGTACGGTCATCGGTGGGACGTATCAGATTGGGAATTGGGATACACAGCCTGATCCGAACACCGCGAATAGAATCATGAAGAGGATTGTAGATCTTTGCCCGGATATTGCTGGTGGAAAGGGGATTACTGGGTTGAGTGTTATCCGGCATGGCGTTGGGTTTAGACCTTATAGAAAGGGGGGGTTGAGGTTGGAGGAAGAGAGGTTGGATGATGAGACGTGGGTTATTCATAATTATGGGCATTCGGGATGGGGTTATATGGGGTCTTATGGCTGTGCTGAGGGGGTGGTTGAGCTTGTTGAGAAGGTGACTGATAAGAATCGGGCGAAGCTGTGAGGTCAACTTCGAACAATGTTATTCAGCAACTTATTTCTAAATCATCATTTTTCTCGTCAAATTCATTGTGCTTTATCTTCAATGAAATAGATCAGAAATCTTCATAAGTCTATCTCCCAGTTCCCAACTGCATCAAAGATTGTACAAGATGTCATAAAACAGAGCCATTCTCACGCCGCAATTGCACAAGACATCGTCTTTCTCTCTCGATTCTATTAGAAATACAACTTATTGTCAAGATAGATGTTGTGGTATGTCATAATTCTCTATCTAGAGGAGAAATCCAGTGGGAAAAGGATCCTCCGGATCGAGATGAACATTCTTCTCTCCCGTGATCCAAGCCCTGCCCTTAACAGTCGGCAGCACCGCATCCAACTCCCCAACTTTGGTCGTCCCTCTAATCCTCCCCACAAACTCCGTATTAATAATACTCCTAAACTTGACCGACTCTCCCTCCTCAATAAAGCCCCTGGCATGCAGAATAGCCAGCCGCGATGAACTCCCCGTTCCACAAGGACTCCTATCCAATCTTCCCGGCGTGACAACAACAGTGTGCTTGACAGTCTTGCCTTCTTGCCCGTCTTCCAAAGGCTCTGTGATGATGACGTTGTTGATGCCGCAGATTGCTGGGTTCTCTGGGTGCGTGGGCATGCAGGTCGCCAAGACTGCTTGTTTCAATCTTTTGCCGAAATCAATGAGACGATCTGCGTTGACTGTTTCCACTCGGAGACCCAGCGCTTCTGCTTTGACGAGCACGTACCACTGTCCTCCATATGCAATATCCACCACCACGGTTCCCAGCCCAGGGACGTCTATCTCTTTATCAAGAGCATAAACAAACGCTGGGACGTTATCAAAAGACACAGATCTGCACTTCCCATTCTCACACTCCGCCGTCGCAACCACCAACCCCGCAGCTGTGTCCAACTTCACAATACTAACAGGCTCAACCATGGGAACGATACCCGTCTCGAGAAGAACAGTCGTCGTGCAGACACAATTCGATCCAGACATGGGGACCCAATCTCCCGGCGCCATGATAAGAAATCCAGCATCTGCATCTGGTCGACACGGCGGGACGATCAAGTTAACGCTCATCTCCAAGCGTCCTCTAGGTTCTTGCAGGAGTAGTTTTCGAAGATCATCCCGCTCAGCCATGTAGTATGTGAGCTTATCGTGCATTGTCTTGGCTGGCACGTCGAGGACGCCGCCGATGATGACATCGCCGACTTCGCCTTCTGCGTGGCATGTGACGATTGAGATGACTCGCTTTGAGCGCATGATGAATTATGTGAGAATAATTATGTTTGAGGTATTGGTCTTTGAGTGAGATTGAAGGGGGAGTTCATTTGGTGTGCTTTTATCTATAGTCTTTACTTGATTGGCGTCTTTTTGGAGGGGTTCGACTGATTTGGGTGAGGGGCGGAAAACTACCCATTTTAGAACGCCCATGTTGAACGCGGCTAGAGATCCCGAGCAGCCACGCAAAACGGGAAGTCTAGTATGGATTGACAAATGGCCTAAAGTGTAAGATAACAAGTCAGATGCTAAAGAATAGCCAATCGTACCTCAACTTCTTATTACTAAATGCAAGACCGCCACTGAACAAGGTTATTTCAACACCAATCCTAGGACGAGAACAGTGAACGCCATATCGGTTGAAATGTTGTTGAAGACTCAGGTTTATTCACATGTAACTATATACAAGCCATGAAAGATATGTTGTCTAGCTGGTAGAACTCAACTAGAGCTAGCAGCTTGATAAGCCCAAATCCACGAACCACCACCTAAGCACGAACAACACGAGCCTTGGACTTCCATCCCCAAGCCGAAACATCCCGCTTGTTCATCACAGCCACGCTCTCATTATAATCACTAGTACCATTCTCCGGATCAGCATCCTTAGCCTCACAAGTCGGTCCCGCATCCGGCGCCCCAAGCGCACCCTCAACAGCACTAAACTTCTGCTTCTCCATCGTAGTAGCAACCATATTCTTGGCCGCCTCCTCAGTCCAGCCATTGATGAAATCGCCATGCGAGCAGAACGCATTTCCACACGCAAGCTTGAACGGCGCCTCGCCGCTCCACCCGTTGGGCAGCACCTTGCGCAGATCGTAACGGATGCTGAAGCGCAGCTGGGGCATCGACTTGCTGCCCTCGGGACACCAGTTTGCGGTGCCGTAGTCGCGTGACTTGTAGGCTGTTTCGAGGGTCTGTTCGTTGACGCACTGCGGGAAGTAGAGGAGTTGCTGGAGGTGGGTTGCGCAGGTTGAGGTTGGGAAGCCGTTTGCGCCGAGGGGGATGGCCTCGCTCTCGCAGGTCCACTCTGCTTTGGCGTCGGCGGGCATGTCAACTTGAGTCTGGGCGTTGGCGTCGCCGGCGACCATCTTCAAGTTCTGAGGAATAGGAACTTCAGCGGGTGTTTCGCCGAGGTTGTAGTACGCGCTGAAGCGCATAACAGGGATAGGTTCGTAGTTCGTTCCATCAGCGGTGTAGAGCGGCGTAGGGATCCAGTAGACGGAGAGATCGTTGGGGTTCTCGGCATTGGTGCAGCCCTTTTGCAGTTCCGCGCTCGTCTTGGTGTTGACGGTGACGGCATCGGAGCCGAAGAACGAGTGGAGATGAGACTTGCTGTACTCGCCGGGAAAGACAATGGGATCGATGTTCTTGAGCATAAAGGGAGAGGCAACATTGACCTGGGTGTAGGCCTGAGCGGCGCCGACAAGAAGACCGGCAGCGAAAAGAATGGAGGAAGACATCTTGCGTCTAGCAGATTATAAAAGAATCGAATAAGATAAATACAAGTGAAATGTAGTGACAGTCAATGTCTAACGAATGAAAAAAAAGAACGAGTGTAGTTTGAACTGAAGAACAGATGCACAGATCACGACGAACTCCTCACTTTAATAGCGAACCTCCCAACGCCAAGATCTCGTCTAACATCTTTAAAAAGAAACATCCCGCGTACCCCCGCTAATGTTTCGTTAAGATATCGTTATGCTTAATAGAGATGAAAAGACTCGAAATATTATTAGCGGAAGAATTCACACCTGTAACAAGGAGTTGAATGCAATTGGTCGATTGAATGGCGCTTGGAAACATTGGAAACGTTGGGCCTTGTAATGTCGGTTTTGAAACAGGGAGAGCTTCTGTATTTGGGTGTTGCCGCGTTTCAGTGTTAGGGCGGTGGTGCTAAGCGACGGTGGCTTTCGGAGCTGAGCCTTGGCTGGCTGCTCTGTACGCGGATAGTCTTATGAGTGTTTTCGAAGGTTGCTTACCCTGTGGCTTCGACTTTTGAGATAAGATTTGGAAGATGCGGGCTATAAAAAGGGACGCATCCCACCTCAACTTATTTCAAGTCGTGTTAGCCTCTGTCTCACCGGAATCAAAGTTTCCTTGCGCACTATACATATAATTGCCACTGCATTGAGCAAAAGTGTAGTGCTTCACGAGTTAATTTGTGTTTTTCTACCTTTCTGTTGGAGTTGCAGCCATTTAGAACTCTCAGCCTTATCGTAGCTCTTGCGTCGGCACTTGGTTGAGATAGAGCAATCTTTGGATGCCGGTTTAGCTAGGTATTCAAGTTTTGTGTCATTTGTTCAACGCTGAGCAGCAAGCAACCGTTTTATACGGCAAGCCCAGACTTGGCGCCGCTGGTCTTTGTCAAGCCATCCCGATAAGCGAGGTCAAGTGACTCGCGCATTTGCCATCTCCAACGGCCTCGAGCTGTGACTTCAGTGGCATAATCAATAAATCGGCAGAAAATGTGAAACTGACAGAAAAGCCAATCGCAACATGTGTCTGCCCTTTACTACAGCTATACAGTTAATTGCCCTTGAAAGCCTTTGTATAATGGTGGGTCGTCAGTTTTAGAAGTTCTCCAGTATTCCACCTTTTTAAGATTAAGGTAAGGAAGAAGCTTACGCGCCATCCTTATCTGATGTGAGAGACAGATTGCTATTCCCGGCCCGGTTTTAGATGAAACACCTTGTGAAACTTGGATATCTTGTGCTCACATGTATAGCTTTATGCCAGAGTTGTAAAATGGATAATAGCTTATACATTTATGCCAAAAGGTCATATCATGGAATGGATGACAGACGATGTGACGAGTGTCCCAAAAAGGATGCATCCTTCGAATCAAGCGAGATGTCAGACTGTGATTGTGATTGTGTCCATGAACCTGCATTTCGGCTAATGCTGACAGGTACCATTCAAGCAAACATTTCCGAGTTGTCAGCAAGTGATGGTGTGAAGCTCAACGGTCTCTACGAATGACAACCTGCAACCAACATCACATCATAACCAAGGACCAATCCAAAGTCCCCTCATCCCAAGCATCTCCAGGCCACCCCTGTCCAAAGACGTTGGCAAAAGCTTGAAAAGTCTTTTTATGGACCTCCAACATGACGAATCTCCTGATGATCTGCACCCCCATCCATGCTCCAAACGGTTGCATCTTTCATACCGTCTCCACATATCACTTCATCAGCAGTAACCTTTTCATGCAATCAGGAGATATTTCCCTCCAACTCGAATCTGCCCTGAAGATCATCTTCTCTAGCTCGCACCTAAATCATAGATACTGTGTTCCACTTGGTTCAAAAGTAAAAAAACTCTATCGGAGGATATTCGTACCTGTAGGGCTGGTCCCGGGATTTGCAACTTCTGACACCGGCATCTACAAACTAGGGGTCTCACCAAGCATGGGAACACTCAAGCTGAAATACGGTGGGTGCATCAACCGATAACTGTTCGACCAACAGGTCGTAAGCACAGCCCAGTCCGCGAATCCTTTGAGATGACGGGACATGGATATTCAGGAGTTTCTGCGGGCCACTTTATCCAGTTTTCTTTAAAGATGACAGTACATCATCCCAGACTTTGACTGTGATCTTCTCTTGTTCTTCTTGTTCTTCTTCCCTTCCTCACGCGATCATGGCTGTCGCGGCAAGTTTACCGTCGCGCCCTGCGCTGAGAGTCGGGATCGTCACTGCACTGGGTATTTTCTTCTTTGTCGTTCTTTTCACTTTTTATTCTGATACTGTACGATCACCTGTTGAGTTTGCGCATCACAAGGCACAACAGTACTGTGACTCGTCGCAAACGGCGTGAGTGTTGCATCTGCCCTGTCGATCTTGGCTAACTGTATAGAAGCATTCATTCTTTTACACCGACACCTACGCCGGTAGCAACAGCCACTCCTGAACCTACACCTGACCCAATACGTAATTGCGAAGATCCGTATCGTCGACCGGGATACCTTTATATACCCAAAGAGCCGAAAGCGTATAGAGATACACAATGGATTCCTTTCACGGAAGACTACCTTAATTCGGAACCACCCGAGTACGCCGCTTACCCACCGAAGCACGAGATTATCTTCAACGATACAGCTGTTGAGCAAGAGTATCTCAACGCCCCTGGTAATCCTCAACAATGGATGCGCATGGCTGTCGTTGAGAGTCGACGCCGTCGAAACGCAGCACAAGCCACTGTCCCACCAACAAGGAACATAACAGTCCATGACTTTGCAAACATGAAAGATGACAATGGCCTCGGCTGGCTATGGGGTCGCCGTGTCGTCATGTTCGGAGACTCAGTCGATCGCTATATGACACAATTCTTCTGCGAAGAGTTCAACAGCAAGATGTATCTCCCCATCCAAGACAAATCAGGCCGCCAAGCAAAAGGCATCTGCGAAGTCCCCGCCTTCAACCTAACCCTCGTGTACCTCCACTCCGTCGGCTCCTTCACCTACCGTCCCGACTGGTGGTGGATCGAAAACCTCAAGAACGTCGCATGGGAAGAACGCTGGAACATCTTCTGGAAGCCCCACGAAGCACCCATCCAAGGACCCTCCGGCCGTCCTGATCTAATCCTCTGGCAGAACGGTCTCTGGGATCAGCGTGCTTTCTGGGAGGGTGGTGCGGCGATGCATGATGATGGTGATAAGCCTATGACCTTGAAAAATAGGCAGATGGCTTGGGAGGAGGTCCGTTTTGTGACTGCGCGTATAAAGAGGATTGCGAAGCGGCTTAATGATGAGTTTGGGGATGATGTTCCGATCATGTTTAGGGCGTTGACGGTTCATAGGGAGAGTGGTATGGGCGATGCTATAATGATGGAGATGGATCGTTTGGGCAGGGCTGTGGCGGAACAGGCTGGCCATGAGATGTTTGAGTGGGCTAGGTTGATACATCTTCTTGGGAATTTGTATCAGGACGGTTTGCATCCAGGGAAGGGACCGGCGAGTTGGCTTTGGGGTAATATGGTCTTGGAATACCTTGCGAGGTCTGCTGGGTCGGAGGTTGGCGGTGAGGCTAAGTCACCATATTTTAGTGGATGGGATGCTTGCCATGAAGAGTTATCTGGTTGGGGAGGGAGATGAGAGAATCTATTTCGTTTCTGATAAACATCATGCGGTTTCTATGTGAACTAAACTATCAAGATTCCATCCAGACGATCCTTTCAGCACAGAAATTCATTATCTAACATCTTACTGAGCTCCAAGGGAGAGTCTTGGAATTGTTATATACATTAGCGCTGAAGGTATTCTCTCAGCTCATCTGGGCATCCCAAAAAGTCAGCTAAAAAATTAAGAACATCTGCATCCTTGTCCTCGCTCTCGTCAATGATCTTTTTAGTCAGCCTCATGATAGGTTGACTATGTTGGTCCAGAATTCGAATACCGCAGTTGTTTTGAGGCGTGGCTTTGAGATAGATGCTCCGGTGCAGCTGAACTGGGGTTCTGGCTACCCAAAGAATATGCTCCAGCACACTTAGGTCGTGAAGAGTTACCCTCAACATCATCGAGGTTATCGGGACAGGAATATCGCAATGTTTAAGAAATGATTTACATGAACGCAAACCTCTTTTGATTGTGCTCACGAAAGCCCTCTCTCTTAATCGATCTTGGTTAGGGGATAATCCAAGTAGTCGCTCTAGAATTTCTGGACGAGACTCTATGGCACTGGCGATGAATTCCGGTGTAGGCCTAATGACAGATTTTGGCCTTTGCAAAAGCGTCTCAAAGACATCAGGGTACCACAAGAGACACTGCAATGCAGCACGTGAAGTGAAATGAAATCCCTTTTCAGCTCTATCCAGAAAAAGAGATGTGTTCTCGCTTCCACGTTGCACGATATCCAGCATGCTAGAATCATCGATCTTCAATATGGGACCTTGCCGGCTAAGAAACTGCCCCAGAGAAGAATGTGGTATCTGCTGCTCAAGTCTCTGTAAAAGCATCTCTTTTGATAGAGCTGGAAGCTCTGATTGCAGAACTTCGATACTTGGTGCTGGTGGATCATTCCCAGGCCACTCCTCGCACAATAGGTACCCGGCAAAGTCTTTCATGACTGCCGACTCGCTTTTGGCGTAATCGGCTCGGATGTCGTTGTACTCCGTGTCAGACGCCATTCCAAGCAGCGCGTAAACCCTGTCCCTGGGGTCCGTGGCTTGACACCCTCTGAACTTCCACATGAGGTTACAGAGGTTTCGGTTTTGGTTCCACCAAGATGAGCCTTTCAGTGGACCTGGCATAATGTCCAAGATAGCTTGGCATTGCTCGCTGACTTGAATATTCATGGCATGTGGTAGAAGGGCGAACACCTTTGCCGGGATGCTCCCAATATTGCACTCCACGATCGCTCGTTTTGCGTTGGCCACTTCCTGCAAAATCCAAACTCTTGAGAACCAGGGATTTTCCATGAAACTTCGCAGCCCATTGTATAATCTCTCGTAATTTTTTTGACAGCCATCCTGTGCTCGTTTCCATTGATGATTCCAACGGTAATCTTCTCGTGACCATTGCCGAAATGCCTGTGGTGGTAATTGCCTCTTGAACCTATCAATGGTGGATTTCAACAAGGCAGCATCGCCACTGAGATACCCGAGCCAAAATATCACGTTGTCAGCTTTCCTATAGATCTCTCCCATATGAGTGACTTGGTGGCCTCGTTCCTTGATATTGCTTTGATCAATACACACAGCGTCAACCCATAGTATTCGATCCTCGTCTATCTGTCTCAGGAGCCAAAGAGCGTCGTGCAAGCTTGCCGTGATAGCGAGAGACTTCCCATTGACATCAATCTCGTTAGGTGTGTCTTGGCTTCCCCAAACGTAAGAGAGCCCTTCATAGGGGATAAGATCCTCCTCATCAAGGTACGCTTGGAAAAGATGGCATTTAAGTTGAGATTTGAAACCTCGAGCAAGTCGTATAAGCCGGAACCCTGGGCGTTCTAGATCGAAAGATTCATACTGAAATAGATCTGTGAAATTCTCCTGTTGCTCCAGTTCCATGGTACCAATTCTGCGTGCCACAAACATAGCATATATAACTGCGGCGGCTCTCGTACGGCGTATTGCCGTGTCACTAATAGTTGAGGAGTTTGTAGAGCTGACTATGCCACAGATGGTCAAGATTGGAAGTCTTGGCTGGAGATCCGCTGCTGCTCGTTCGAAACAGATAATCTTATTGCTACTTCCAATCTGGTCGACCAAGACATTATCGGACAAGAAGCTCGAAGAAGACGCTATTTTGCCGCCGTAAACTTTGCTTGGATGGAATGAGTGTTCTGTGGCATCCTGACTGGAAAACTCGGGCCTCGATAGCTTTGTGGCCAAGCATCTTTGCCATTGCTCATGGCCTATTGGAGACCTCAAGCCATTTATGGCGGATTGAACGCAGGATGGTGGGCGACTCATTTCAAAAGTCGTGGAGATGCGCTTCGAAACAATTGTCTCATTCGCGCTGAACTGAACTTGCCCGGGTTGAAGGCCATGCGGAAAAGCCACTACGATATCGCCAGGTGTGGCGAGGCTCTTCTCGGGTGCTGTAGCATCGACTCCAATCAGAAAGCCAGCTCGAATGCAAGGGAAAGCTTCGAGTAAATCATCGACAGTGTCTTTGACAACGACAGAGACATTGGTCATGTCATTGGTTTTTCCGACCAAGACGACATCATGAGGGCCAACTTTTCCAACCGAGCATGCAGCTCCCGAGCTCGGCAACTGATATTCTGGCTCCGGTTCGTCCAATAAGGCTCTGGCCGTCTCATAGTCCTCCGGCGACGGTGCCACAATTGCGATATGGCAATTATTTGAGTTTGACTTTTCCATGACCGGCGTGCGAAGACAGTTCATGCAACCGGATATAACCTACTGCAGAGTAGTAACTGAGAGAGCTGGTGGGAAATCAGAATTTGGAAAGGAAAAGAAATATCAACAAGCATGTCATTCATTGAATGTCAGACTTCAGATGTCCAGCGGCGAGGCTTTATGCCACGTCAGAACTGCGTTGAGGCTTGGCAAGCCACCATGCTCATCAAACACAGACCTATCAACTGTCAGACACAGCCTGCAGGGATGGCTACACCAAAAGCAAATTACAATCAAAGTGGAAATACATTACAACAATGCCTCAATCGCCATCATATCAAATATGCCTTGATTGATAAAAGAGCCAATTCTATTACATAAATCAAAAACTTGTCTACCTACACTGCTCATTGCCTCACAGAAAGACCAATACTTCTAAAGCAATGTTTCCCGTCTAAATTCGTGCTCCTTCTAAGGGAATCTAGGGACAATGCCCCTGGTGACATAAAGATCGGTCCAGCGCTCGCTGACAGCCTTTTCAATCTCCCAATAGCTCTGGCCATGGATCCATGCTGGCAACCTCCAGTCGTCGCAAACTAACAAGGGATGATCCCCATCCTCATCTTCTCCCTTTACCTCACAAGGCGGTATGCGATCTTCGCGGCGAACCACGCGGGTCCACTCGCGATCCGTCCACCACCCATCATCTCCCTTCGCAACCCCCTTGTTTCCCCAGGGACGGTCGAGCATCGGTCTGATGTGATGGTTTCGCAACTGATAGTCATGGTACATTTCATACGGGTTCCAGTCACGATCAATGATGAAACGGTGATATCGATGGGCATCACCCCAGCTGTGAATATCTTCCTCTTCTGAGGCCCACATGTCAAGTGTATACACTTCCCAGTCAATCGTGAAAGGTCGGAGTGCCTTGACAAGTGTGTCCCAGCAGCACTGAGCGTCCCAACCGGTGATTCCGGTTATGCTACTGGTCTTTGTTGGAGTTGTCATGGATCGCAAGGCTTCCACAATGCTTCTTAGCATCTTCTCCTCAATATCGTCGAGAATCCCATACTTGGCAAGGATTTTGATCTTCTCCTCCAAGATATCTGAAGCCTCGCCACGATACTGTTCCACCCAGTTCGTCGAAGGGTCCACAAGGTCTAGAAAAATACCCCATGTTGTTTCTAATAGATTTGTGAACTTCCACCACTGCTGGTCTTGGGTAAAGACTAGGCCGTTCGGCGTGGAAACTAGGCTGTTCGATGTGTATTCGTAGAAGAACTTGTGCTTTCCCGCCCATGATTTCATGGAAACAGGGGTCACGACATGAGTAGACGAAAAGTCGACGCGGCGGCGAATATAGTCTTGCATGATGACCTCAATAAAATAGGGCGGGCAGTGAGACCGTAAGGCCTCATCCAATGGTTTCCTGACGAGGCCGGGGGAAAGTCTTTCCATTTCATCCAAGTGCCAATAAGTATCCAAATTCATGGCGAAAGGAAGTGAGTAGCCATTGCTCTGTATCAATTTGATCATCTGGCATATGCCTTCTGTGTAGACACGATCAGGGCTTTTGCTCAGCATAGTAATCAGAAAGTCGGGGAAATGATCGCAATGCGTGTTTGCCTCGTACCACGCCTGGTCTTTCTGCTCCTTCATGTCAAATCTCCTTTCCAAGAGCCACTTCAAAGCATTGATTCCATTTTCAATGGGGACGTTGCCCAAGTACACGCTCTCCAGTAGCTCATCGATAGGTCTGTGGTGGGTATGTCGGCGCTCAGAGATGCACTGGCAACCGTCGGATTCAGGCAGTTCCCATGTCGTATCACGTACAGCTCCAAACTGGGCGCATCGGTCCATCGCCTTGACATTAGCGCTTCTAATTGCCTGGCGGAACGCGCCGCAGTTATCCCCAAGATAGTAAGGGCGGAGGTATATCTGGCTGAGAGGAGGGCTGAGCAAGCATAAACCCTTGAACTCCTCAGCCGAGATGGTGTCTTGGTCTTTTTCAGGCTCACCTGTAATTTGGAGAAGGACTTCAGTGGGGAGAAGGTCCAGTGTAAGTGGTTGAGATTTTTGAGCGGTCTCCGTATCAGGAGATAGTGACTCGGGATTTTGATTAGGAATTTTATCAGAAGACATGGTGTAGGTTTCTGTTGTGTTGGTTGGTTTTTGTTTTGTGTGCTGGTATTGTTGTAGTTGTTGGTTACTGAGTTCGTTGTTGAGAATGATGAATCCAAAGTCTACGAGTCGAATAGATCACTACTTATACATAGCCTGAACATTAACTTGACCGAACGTCAAACCTTTCATATTCTGATTGAGAATCTGTTGCATCTGACATTTCTTTCAGCGTTTATTTCCGCTGTACGGACAAAGAATCACATAAGTAATTGCCTTGTTCACTGTATCAGGGTCTTTATGAACAAGCAGCTAATGAACAAAAGCGTTGACCGAACACCTCATTTGGACTGTTTTTTATTTGTGAATCTTGAACAGTTAGTAAAGATCCCATATGGGACTTCCGCACAACCTCTCTATCAACAAAGCAAGTGCCCGTCCTTGTTAGACACATACTCATGTGCCACAGCCGCTTCTATTCATCTCAATCAGCTATCTTCACACAAAATTTAGGCATAGTGTCGACTTACCAAGAGGCACAGCGACCTTTTCACTCTGCCCCTCACAAGTGCATCTAATCCAGTACTCCGCACCGCCATACCACGGATCAGGCGCTACAAACATTTCACACCCGTGACAGCTTTCAGCAAAGTTTCCATGATAAGTTGGCTAACAAACTACTTAGCTTTTGTAAACCGAAACACTTTCGCGAACACAACTTACTGTAATGGTGGTGCCGTCGTAGCCGAAACAGTCGTTGAGGTCCAGCTCAGACGGGATGTAGCCTGAGTTATCGCGAGGCTGGCATTTGCCCGATAGTGTGTTTGTTTCGGAGTTGAAGGCGATGTCGATACAGGTTCTGTCGATCTGAGCGAATGCAGTGCCCAGGAGGGCCATTAGAATTGTGGCTACTTTGGTCATTTTGCGCTATGTCATAGGTCGAGTAAGGTATCTTTGCCTCAATAACTTGACTTACTGCTGAACTTGGCGGGGAACATAGGTCTTTATGTTAGAGTTCCAAAGAGGGGCCATGCAGTGATCCTACCACTCGGTTAAATGAGTTCTGATCCTGACTGCTTCAGCTATAGCACGTGAATCCTTCGCTCGTGGCTAGCGTCAGAAACATATGACCCGAGGGTGAGTTGGTGTCAAGATACTGAATCCCAATAGGCTCTTCCGTGGTGAGTAATTCCTACTTGACAATTAAGGTACTATCGGAGCTTCAATGCATTACTTACCTGCCCAAAGCAGCTCAAGCTGCATATCTCGCTGATCCTCCGGGAATAATCCTTCGGAGAAGTTTCTTTCTCCGGCTTATGTTACCCGCAAGCTGAATCCTGGGCAGTGTTAGATGCCATTAAGAGTGTGAGAAGGTTCATGCCGGACGGCTGTTTTTTAATGTGGTACGGAATCCCGTCCACCCCAACTCAACCCTTTGCAAATACAGAGACTCGCCGACTTACTCCGTAGCATATTTAGGGGTAACTCTCTTTTCTTGCCAAGATTTCGACTCGAGAGTCTTCAACGTCCTGCCAGACTGAAGGGGGCTTGCCGTCAGCCACAAGCTTTACGATAGCTTGGAGGTGACTACGCCAAACATCGACAGCTCAACATCTTCTCCTGAAACTAATTCATATCTTTCAATCAATTATCACATCTATCATAAGCATCATACCGTCTAATAATTCGTCCTACTCTGATCCCCATACCCCTCCATCAAAAACTCCATGTCATGCCACCCCGTCATCTCCATCTCACTCCCCGGCACATACTGCGCCAAAGATCCCTCCGCCATCCCAAACCCCGGAAACGGCAAAAAGTCCAACAATCCCTCCATCGATCCAAGTGCAACCCCTTGGCCCTGCACTTGTTCAGCTGACCAACCAGCGGGATACGGCATATTGTTCATGTTGATCCCCTGCGGGGGTAAATTCGCTATACCCGGAGGATCAGTCGGATTGTTGGCACACTCTGAAAATGTATCGACCACTTGAGCTAGTCGCTTCATTGAGCCGCATTTATCCGTGTGGTTGATGACGTTTCGCAAGGTGGCGACGAGGCGCCGGACTTTGCTCTGGAGCATTACTTCATCTGGTCCTATACTTTCTGCGCCTTCGCCAGGGCGTAATCGTAATAACCGTAGGATGAGGATCATGGCAGAGCAGTAGGCGTAAAATATATCAAGACCGGAAAGACCGTTGATGACATCAAAGTGGTCTAAGAGTATCATCAGGTAACTCAGTTGACACGCATGCTTGACACATAGAGCTGCATGTGTAGGAACCGGTGTTTTTGGTGCGTCTTCTTTTCGTGCGGCTGCAACGTCGCGAAGCAGAAGTGGGCGTGTAGCCACGATGGCGATGTAGTGGAAGTGAATATGCAGAAGCAACACGGCGCGAAGCTGAGCCCGTGTCTTCCATGCCAACGATACTTTCAGTTGCTCCATATCAACAGCCCCTTCGTGATCAATGGATTCCAGAGCCGGTCCCTCCATTTTGATCCACGCAACATCGAGACCAGGTGCTTTCCCAATATCCCTCTTCCAACCATTCAGTGCGTTCAATATCTCATCAAGCGTCGGACCTGAATTTTGACTTATACCAACATGTAAGAGTCTTGTTCGCGCGAGAATTGCTTGAAGCTTGACAGACCATGATACGAGTCTTGCATCGGTACCTATACCTCCTTCAACAAACCCTTCTCGTGGTGGAACAACTTCGACGTCGAGTTCTTGAAGACCACTGGGTCGACCGAGACTCGAAGCAAGGAATTGTTCAAAAGAGTAGAGTGTGCAAAAGACCCATTTCCGAACTTCTCGTTCCAAAGGTCTGAAGGAGGCACTCATGTCGGAGCGATGAAGACCAAGAGCGAAGGAGATCCGAGTTGCTGTTCCGGCAATGTTCCACGCAGCATTTCTTTCATTATTGTTGTGCAAAAACAATGAAAGAAGTAACAAAACTCGAACATTCGTAAGTGAACACTTCGAAATGAACTGAGGAAGTAGCCCTCTAGCGACTGCAATAGATCTCCGCCGGAGAGCAGAATGATCGACGTTGGGTATTGACCTATCAGCGATAGAGCCAAATACCACAATCATATGAAGACAGCCTATCCATCCCCAGTCCGGTAACCGAAGTGGTCTTGAGGGAAGTCGAGAAGTGCTGCGGGCTTCGACGATGAAACTCTCGTATTCTTCCTCAAAGGTAGCTCTGTGAAAGAGAGGAAAGTCGTCGTGAACATTTTTGAAGTATGACTGAATAAGTAGATCAAGGACTTCGTTCGAGGGAAATTGGCCAAGAATTTCATCCATATCTGCTGTGGGAAGACGGGTAAAGTCTCGTGCGACAGCTGAGGTGATGGATCCAGGGGATGGTCCATCTTGAGGTGTTGCTGCAGTCCGTGGTGGTTGGTCCTCTTCGTCTTGCCCATCAGCTTCCAGAAGCCGACTTGTGTTATCCTGCGTAAACTTAGTGACTCCTTCACGGCCAGGAGACGGATAAGGGCTATTATTAGAGTCAACAAGATTCCGAAGTTGATTCCAGAAGTTGAGAGTCCCTGAAGGTCCGATATAGTGCTCATGCCCAGAGTTATCCTTCACAAGCGACGATTGCGGCTCCTCACTATGCGACTTTGAACTCCTCGGCGAAGTATCACCCCTCGAATCCGCCGTGATGATATCCGGCCCCGTACTCGGAGTTCGTTCTTTACTAGAAGGATTCTGCACGAGGTCCTCAACTCTCATGTGTGTTCTATTAGGATCAGAGATATCAGGCATCTTGTACCCCATCTTCTGACCTAGTTGTGCAAGATCACTAACATGATCGAGAGTCTCGTTCGGAAAAGCGCCTCTGACAATAGCTTCGAGACATCGATACCTAATTTGTCAACGACGTTACACAAGATATGCAGAAGTGAGACAAACCTATCGCTCAAATCATCCACACTCCCGTAGAAGCGCGTCTTTCGTGGCGCCGTATACGAGCAAGTGACGTTATGTTCAACACAGTTCACACAGCCTGCGCCCGAAGGATCAGGTACACATTTACACCTCCTCTACACCAAGTCAAGTCAACACCACTCAACCCCCGATCCTCAACGACTTTACTCACCTTTCGACAACGATCACAGCTTTGAGCATTCCGTTTACGGGATTCTTCAGGGATGCGCCGCAGACGACGCTTCGCATGCGCAGATTCAGACATGGTTTAATAGGAACGGGGAAGGGAAAAGGACTCATCGAATCGATGCTTCCCGGATCTGGGGTTCCTTTTCCCGCGGGACGGATGCATGCTTCCGGGGGGGATACGTAGATGGCGTGGGAATAAGACGCTAATGGAATGTTACGCTGAAGGTTTGGGGATGGAGAAACTAAAGACCGCGGGTTACCCTACGCCTCGAGGTTGGACCAACATGACGACTTCTCTATCGGTGGTATAACGTTATTGACATGTTTCGTTATCTTGCCAATCCGTCGTTTATCTACCATAAAAGTCACCTTATCGCGAGGAATAACATCAGGATGGCTAGTTCTTTGACACTCCCCGATTCCAGAACATTGGCCTACGCTTTGGACTCGTCACCAAAAGAAGGACCCCTCATCATCCTGTCAAACTCCCTCACTGCACCTCTTTCAGTATGGGATCACGTCGTCAAGGTCCTCAACAGCAATGGTTATCGCACTCTACGCTATGATCAGCCCGGTCATGGCGGATCATCCGCACCAAAAGACCTAAGCCCTACGTTTGACTCTATGGCTGAAGACGTGCATCATCTTCTCAAGAAGCTCGAGATCAACAAGGTCTACTCATGGATCGGAGTATCAATGGGCGCATCAGCAGGTGTCTACTTCACCACCAAGTATCCCAACGTCGTAAGCAAGCTCGCCATCTGCGACACCATCTCTTCATCGCCCATCAACGCCGGCACAGAAGATGCCTTTGGTCCTCGTGTCGCAGCAGCACGAGAAGCAGGTAATCTCGACGCAACTATCCAAAGCACTCTAGAGCGTTGGTTCGGCAAAGAGTGGCTCGAGAACAACCCCCAGGAAACACAGCGTATGCGAACTGTCATGTCTGGAACTACGATCGATGGTTTCGAAGCATGTTGTAATGCACTGAGAAGCGAGACTTTTGATCTTCGACCGCGGTTTGCCGAGATTGGTTCGAGTGTTGATGATGCGGTTTGTATCGTTGGCGAGAAGGATGCGAATCTACCGGAGACTATGAAGGAGATGAGAGATAAGATCCAAGAGGGGTTTGAGGCAGCGGGTAAGAGCAACAAGATTGATTTGGTGATTATCAAGAATGCCGGTCATGTTTCGTTTGTAGATGGTTTTGAGCAGTTCACCGCTGAAGTGCTGAAGTGGTTGAAGGCTTGATTACGCGTATCATTCCAAACACTATGTATCGTATAATCAGACGAGTCTCACTCTCCAATACAAGGATAATGTCGTATCAGTACAACTCCCGCTCAGTAAGCCGAGGCTCTCACCAACTCCCCAACCCCGCACCATGAAATGTCGGTATTTCGCCAATGACACTTTTTCCAAGTTAAGTTTCGCATACAAAGCAACAATCTGATGTAAGATAGGTGATTCGGGGAACTTGACTAGATCATCACCTCGATTAAAACATATCACAGGATCCTAGTCGATAGCATCGGCGAACGTTAAAGGTGGAGTAGTGCCGAGACTAGCCATTCATCCCCGAGTCCCCGACCCAACTCGCCGATCGGATATTCAGCCACCAAATTCTGTTGTGCATGATGCACTTGAGTGTTGGCCGATGGTGCAGATGCGAAGCCATGGGCTTGCATGAAATTTCGATAGTTTGACAAAATCAAGAAACTTCGCCGAGTTTTATTGAAAGCCACTTTTGACGGTGTGACAGAGAGACAGGTAATTAGACTGCCGTGTATCCTAGTCGAAATCGCTGTGATGCAACATCGGTAAGAAGGGCAATTTACGTATGTATGATTCAGTTGGTCATTACTCATTATGATAGAAAAGACTGCACTCCAAGTATCCAATTATACTCCGTACTCTCCAACTTTTTTTAAGATTCACCCCTTGGGACTGTCGTGATGGGTGGTTCAAGAACAACCGTTCTTCCATGCTTGATCAGCTCTGTAGCTTGCATAAAGAACGAATCAATCCTCAGAATAACAGGTCTCAAGAACACCCTGGCAGCTATATCATCCGTAGCACCAAGTTTCTGCAGCGACTGATGAAACTTCTCCAGCAACCGATAAGCAACCTCGATATCTCGCGGATCACTCGCCAGCAAGAAGAGATAGATCAGAAAGTTTCCACACAGGATAAGCTGCGTTCGGGCAACTGTATTGCATTAGTTACATGTTTCAGAGTGACATTCTTGATCGGCAAACTTACATCTTCCCCAGAAGCTCGTTAGTTCCTCCTCGGTGATGTACGCCATGAATGTCGTGAAGAGCTCGAACTCTGCTAGTGCGGTGGAGAGCCATCGCTGAAGATTAGAGCCCGGGGTGACCTTTGCGGCTCTTGTGGCTGGGAACATGAGACCCCGGAAGAGTAGCACCTGCGTAGCGAAGAAGGATATGTGAAGGGGTCCTAGTTCATGTTTAGACGTCGGCGAATTCTTAAGATGCTTGTTACATTACATACCGTTGTGGGCGTAGGGTCTCACGGCGAGACAGCTCGGGATGAGACTCGGCCATTCCTTGAGGGTGTCTCGGATAGGAATCAGTTGCGTACGCGTCTGCTGAGTTGATCGTACACCGCTGCATCATGTAAGTCGCTGTCACATTTACTACGCCGATGGTTGGGTTAACTTACAAGCTGCAGTCAAGGATGGCACGCATCTCGCGAGACACAGTGATCATTTCAAGGAAGCGTGCACCGTCAGACACGCGGAAAGTGGCATCCTCAATATCGATCATATACCGAAGATCGTCAGGGATATCCTCGCCAGACCGCAGATCATCCATGTCCGGTGGTGGAGTCGTGAAGGACTCGTAGCTTATATGCGGGGGGTTACCGTGGCTTACAGCTGCCCAGCAATCTGTGTAAAACACCGCCCACCAGAGCTTCTTGCGTAACCTCTTCTCCCACGGCGCAATGTTCCACTTGTCAGGGTCTTGGTGCAGACCGAGCATCTGCGCTATCGCTGTGGCTTGACAGGCCATCACCCAGATATACGGTGTCTCAACACTGTCAATGTCTGGGGGTACCATGTGCATCAGCAGCAGGGCTGACATTAGTCTCGAGAGGTTAGGAGCTTCGAGTTCACGCCTCAACGCTTCTTGGGCGTGATTGGTCAGTTCATGCTGCTCGAACGGACAAGGGATTCTCGCGAGCGTTGGATCTTGCTTCCAGAACACACACGCCAAGGCGTAAACGGCGCCCCGTAGCGACGTGGGTATGTCTAGCTTGGCGGTCGCGTACTGCCGAAGGAAGCGAGTCTTGTGGATGACGGGCAATCCTACGTGGACGTGCCGGAAATAAAGGCGGACGAGGGCCGGGCCGTGGGGCCAGACGATGCGCTCTATCGCATCGGATGCCATCTGCCTAGCCTCATTCCTGTGTTCGGGGAACTCATCCAGCAGCAGGAGGAAGTGCATCGGGTAATCATCCACATCAGGCCCGCCATGGTAGACCTGCACAAAGTTGGCGTCAATGCCCTCGCGGTCGCTGAGGAGCACGGATCTGAAGGCGTCGAGAAAGTAAGGGTCCTGCTCCGAGCCTAACGCCATGGCGTGCGCCGTACGGCCTGGGACATCTTCAAGAGCGTAGGCGACTTCTTGATTGGGCTCGAGGCGCGGTGGATCTAGGCTGATGCTTCGATCCAGGGAACCTTCTCCAGGAACTGGCACGGGATGGCGCACGAGGCCGTTGTGGACAACGGCCGCGGACTCGGATCTGTGCCGAGTAGCTTCAGATGGCGCAGAGGGTGAGATGGCCGATGTGCCAGATACAGAGACAGAAGCAGATGCAGACGCCGGGCTTAGTGCATCGTGGCTTCTGGAGGACTCTGGTCCAGGGCCAGGGCCGGATGTAGGCCGGTGGGCTAGAGGGTCAGTGTCGGAGAGGGACTGGCACACCAAGCCTCTGCTTTTACAGAAGAGGCCTGTAATACAGATCGATGCAACGGTCAGTATAAGCAATTGACGAATGACTAGCGGGAAGTGTCAAGTGGAGTTACCACTGGACTGGTACTGATAGGTAGTAGTGAGGTGAGTGG